AGCTGCATCACTTTCATTGGCATTACTTCATTGAGTGTTCCTGGTTTCACTTGACAATTACAAGCTTTTTATTTCATTTCAATTTTAATTACTAATATCCATAAAACTCAAATCATACGCCACACTTCAAGCAATTACATATAAGGGACAAAAAGGCCAGAGGATTTAAAGAATCAATGCAATGAGTCACTGCAGGCAGCCAGGTATTGAGTTAATGAACAGTTGCAGAGATGTTAAGGTTAAGGGTCTTAGCTGCATGTGGTGCTGCATGCATCCCAGCACTCGGGAGGTTGAGGCAGGAGGATTGCCACAAGTTCAGGCCCAGCCTAGAGCTACATAGTGAGATCCTATCTAAAAAAAAAATCCCCCCCCAAAAAATATCCGGAAGACTTGGACAGCTATGTTGAAGTGGGCAGTGTCAATGGCAGGGCAGAGCATGCCACGCTGAGTCTAGGGAAAGTTCAGGGGTTGTTGCCTGGCAAACCCCTTGGCAGGGGCTGTGATGAGTCCATCAAGGTGGTCCCTGATGAAGTGGCAGTGTCCTATGCTGCAGTCTGAGGTGTCTCCTTTTATGTGTCTTGGATGGGTGGTTACATCTTTCTTTAGTTTGCTGTGTCCGATAAGCTCACAGGTGGTAATTTTTTATTAGCACAAATAAGTCTGCCTTATGGTTGTGCTGGGCAGATGGTGTTTGTTTACTTGTTCAGACAAGAGGCTGAGTCATGAGTCATTCTACCTTAGAATGTGTACCCAAAATGGAGTAACTCAGGACAAGCCACACCCAGGGAGCTGTCATTTTATACAGGAGCCTACACATATTCTCACAGGAAAACACATGTAGGGGTGGGCACATTTCTGAGCGTGCTCAGAATAGGATAAGATCTATGCTCTAAAGTCACAGATGATATGTTTAAAAAGGAAATATGAGCTGGGTATGTGGCACACACCTGCAGTCGCAGCACTGGGGAGGCTCAAGCAGAAGGATAGTAGTATGAGACCAGCTTGAGCTATACAGTGACTCTAGACCAGCCTGCCGCACATAGTGAGACCCTGGCCCAAAAACAAAAACAAAAAAAAGAAGAATACAAAGAAAGATTGAAAAAAGAAGACACATTAAAAAGGTTGAGCGGGGGATTTAGCTCAGTGGTTTCACCACCTGCTGCGCAAGCGCAAGGACCCGAGTTTGATCCCCGGTACCGAAAAAAAAAAAAAAAAGATTGGTACATTTTAGATATATGTAATGATAACACTCATCATAGGGAATTTGCACCTGTACATGATATATCCTGCCTCTTCTTTTTTCCCCTTTTCCTCAAGCGCCCCTCTGCTCCCTATATGCAAAAGCTTTGTTTCCATTTTCTCCTTCTATTGTCACTGTTTTTTCTTGTCCTTTCCTTCCTTCCTACCTCCTCCCTCCTTTGTTCCCCTTCTCATTTTCCCAATGTCTAATATACATTTTAGTCCTTATTTTCCACTTTGGGTTTCTCATACCGGAGAAACAATGTGATATTTAAACATTTGTGTCTGATTAATTTCACTTAAGACTATAGTCTCAAGATGCAGCCATTTAGCTATAAATGGCTCGAGCTCATCCTTCTTTATGGCAGAGTAGTACTCCATTGTATATAAAAATCCATATCCTCTTTATCCATTGTCAGTTGATGGACATTTGGACTGTTTCCAAGACTTAGCTATTACAAACTTTTCCACTGTAAACATGGGTGTGCATATATCACTGAGGCAAGATGCTTTTAATTCTTTCAGGAAAATACCAGAAAGGGGAATAGCTGGGTCAAATGAAACCTCTAGTTTTAGTTTTTTGAGGAATCTCCACACTGATTTCCACAATAGTTGCACTAGTCTACACTCCCACCAACAGTGGAACAGGGTTCCTTTTTCCCCATAGTCCCACCAGCATTTGTTATTGGTTGATTTCTTGATAGCCGTCATTCTTTCTGGAGTGAAATGGAATCTCAGCATTATTTTAATTTGCATCTCTTGAATGATCAGTGATACTGAACATTTTTTCATATATTTATTTGCTGTTTGCACTTCTTCATCTGAGAAGTGTCTATTAATTTCAGATACCCATTTTTAGTTTGAGTCTTTAAATTGAGGGGTTCTGTTTTGTTTTTTTTTAGTTCTTTATATAGTCTAGATAGTAGTCCTTTGTGGAGGAACAGCTGGCAAAAATTGTGTGGGTTTTCTCATCATTCTGTTGGTGGTTTCTCTGGCTGTGCAAAAGCTTTTAATAAGATGAGATCCCAGTCGTTGATCCTTTGTGATAGTTCCTATGCAATTGGGATTTTGTTCATAAAGTCTTTGCCTATACCAATGTCTTTGAGAGTTCTACCTATTCTCTTTCAGCAGATTTAGTGTTTCTGTTTTAATATTTAGAGCTTTGATTCATTTTGATTTTAGGTTAGTGTATGGTGAAAGATATGGGTATAGTTTAAATCTTTGGCATATGGAAAGCCAGTTTTTCTAGCACCATTTATTAAAGAGGCTGTATTTCAGTGAAGGTGTCTGGCTCCTTTGTCAAAAATAAGGTGGGCTCAATATGTCTGGAGTTGTTTCTGCATCTTCTAATCTGTTCCATTGATCCTCAGATATGTTTGGGTTTTTGCCAGTACCATACTGTTTTTATTATAGTAGCTTTTTAGTATAATTTCAAGTCAGGGATTGTGATGTCCCCTACCTTGCCTTTTTTGCCCAGAATGGCTTTTGCTATTCTAAGTCTCTTCTGAGTCCAAATGAATTATAGGATTCTTTTTTCTAATTCTGTGAGATATGCTGTTGGAATTTTGATTGGAACTGGATTAAATCTGTATAACAATTTTGGAAGTATGGTCATTTTCACTATATTGGTTCTTCCTACCCAAGAACAAGGGACATTTTCTTTGAGGGGGGGGTTACCGAGGATCGAACTTGGGACCTTGTGCTTGCAAGGCAGGCAGCGTAACCACTGAGCTAAATCCCTGGCCCAGTTTGCCAGTATCTTATTGAGGATTTTTGCATCTATGTTCATCAGGGAGATTGGCCTGTAGTTCTCTTTTTTGGTTGGATCTTTCTCTAGTTTTGGTGTCAGGATAATGCTTGCTTCCAGGAATGAATTTGGTAATATTGCTTCCCTTTCAACTTCATTAAAGAGTTAGAGAAGCAGAGGCATTAGATCTCCTCCAAATTTCTTGTAGAATTCATCAGTGAATCTGTCCAGGACTGGGCTTTTCTTTGTCGTTAGGTTTTTGATTACATCTTCGATTTCATTGGCTGATATTTATTTAGAATTTTTGTATCTTCTTGATTCAGTTTTGGTAATTCATATGTATCTAGGAATCTGTCCATTTCTTCTGTGTTTTTCAACTTATTAGAATACAGGTTCTTGAAGTAGCTATTGATGATCTTCTGGATTTCTGCAGGATCTGTTGTGATTTCACTCTTTTCATTCCTAATTGAATGGATTTTTAATCTTTCAAAGAACCAACTCTTCAGTTCATTGATTTTTTTTTTTTTTTTGGTACTGGGGATCGAACTCGTGTCCTTGTGCTTGTGAAACAGGCAGTGAAGCCACTGAGCTAAATCCCTGGCCTGGTTCATTGATTTTTGGTTTGTTTTTTTTTTTTTTAGTCTCCATTGTATTAATTTCTTCCCTTGTACGAGCTTTGGGCTTTACTTGCTAGGAAAAAGACCCATTTTTGTTCATGGTTAGTTTATTCTAGTTTTCATAAAAGAATGAGTCAGAATGATAGTGTAACCTTGACTGGTTCCTCATAACTTTCTCCACAGTGTTTTAGCTAAAACAAAAAGAAAGAACAGTGCTAAGGATGTATCAACCGTTTTTTAAAGGGGGAGCAGCTTTCTCCCCCATAAGTATGGGAGTTTGCCCTAAAAGTGCCTGGACTTTTAGCAGCTAATAGCATATCTGACCCAGCAGCGTAAATTGGAGTTTGTTACAAACCCTCCCTCCTCAGGTTGGATAATTTGTAGAACAACTCAGAGATCTCAGCAAGGCAATTTCCTTGTGATTACTGATTTATTATGAAGGATACAACTCAGGAAGAGCCCAGTAGAAGAGGAGCAGCGGCTAAGGTAGGGGGAAGGGGCTTGGAGCCTCCACGCCCTCTCTGGGAACACCACCCTCCCAGCATCTCCATTTGTATGGCTGGTAGCTCTCTAAATGCTTTCTTTCTTTCTTTCTTTTTTTTTTTTTTTTGGTACAGGGATCCAACTCGGGACCTTGTGCTTGCTGAGGCAGGCGGCAGAACCAGCGGCTAAGGTAGGGGGAAGGGGCTTGGAGCCTCCACGCCCTCTCTGGGAACACCACCCTCCCAGCATCTCCATTTGTATGGCTGGTAGCTCTCTAAATGCTTTCTTTCTTTCTTTCTTTTTTTTTTTTTTTGGTACCAGGGATCCAACTCGGGACCTTGTGCTTGCTGAGGCAGGCGGCAGAACCAGAGCTAAATCCCCGGCCCTTCTTTTGTACTGGGGATTGAATCAAGGGCCTTCACATTTAGTTACATCCCCAGCCCTTCTTAATTTTTTATTTCGAGATAGGATCTTGTTCAGTTGCTATGTTGCCTAGGCTGGGACCCACCTTGCCATCCTCATGCCTCAGCTGGAGATTACAAGCATGTGCCACCACACTAGGCTGGTTTAGAATCTTATGGAAGTGCTATTACCGTCAGCATGACTGCTTAAATCATTAGTAATTTGTGACTGGACACAGTCTACAGCCTTCCTCCCATCTTGGATGTCCAGGGCTGGGGCTGAAGATTCCAGCTTTCTAATCACATGGCTGATCCCTTTCCAAGAGCCTTGAAGTTACCTAGGGTTCCACCCAGAGCTACCTCATTAGCATAAACTCAGGTATGATTGAAAGGGGGTTATGGATAACTAAAGGCATTTGTCTCACCCCATCACTAAGGAAATCGCACAGGTATTAGTACATGTGTCAGGAGTCGGGGAGAAAGACTAACTACATATCTTTTATTATGTCACAGTGTCACAGGAAGGAGAAGCACAGCATTTCTTTTCCTCTGGATCTCTGCTTCAAGAGGCTACTGTCTCAGTTCCAGCTCCCACTGTTAATTCCTGGACCAACTTGTGACCAGGTGCAGCACGGACTCTGGGCCCTGGGAACACCACCGTAGCCTTTTGTCCTTCCAGCCCTGCACCAGTGAATCCCTGGGTTGCTTTCCTGTACCCAGTAGGCAGTTTTGGGACACACATGGTGTACTGAAGCCAGGAAATAGGGCAGAGTGTAGTGAAGGCACAGGGATGTGCTAAACTCATAAAGGATGTTGCAGTACCACAGGGCTAGTAACAGCTGAGAGATTTATGTCTCTCAGGCTCAAAGATCGCGGGGAGAGAGGGGGACTCTGGGAGAGAGCTATAGGTGTAACCACCTAGACATCCTTGTGTTCTCCCACCTGGTGGTGTCTCCCATGGGTAGAACTCAACCAGAAGATTGAGGACGGCACACCCTCCTGGTATGGTTCATTTAGGTTAGTCCTGAGCACAGAGCTGGCTGGAGGAGGGTGGAGGGTGGCTTTGGAGGAGCCGATGGCGAACAGCAGGTGCACATACACACACACTATCCCCTGTTTGGCTTCTCCAAAGCCAAGGAACATCATTCGGCCTACATTTGAGAGATTACTATGAAATCCTTTCAAGTATAGAAAATAGACTGTGTTAGGATTATTATTGTTTATTACTTTGCAGCAATATACCTTTAAGAAAAATTGTGCTATCTGGGCATGATGGTGCAAGGTAGGAATCCCAACATTCTGGACAGCTGAGGCAGAAGGGTCACGTTTGAGCCCAGCCCGAGCAACTTAGTCACATAGCGAGATCCTGTCTCAAAACTAAAATGGGCCAGGGATTTAGCTCAGTGGATTTAGCTAAGCCTGCCTTGAAAGTGCAAGGTCCCCGGGCTGGGGATTTAGCTCAGTGGTTTCGCCGCCTGCTGTGCAAGCACAAGGACCCGAGTTCAATCCCCAGTACAAAAAAAAAAAAAAAAAGGGCTTTGGACATGGCAAAAAAAAAAGATTGTGTCAAAGGCACAGGAGAAGAAAGATTTTACTATATCACTATTTCAGGGATGGGCAAGTTATAGGTCGACCAAGTACATCTAGGTGCCTATGTTTGCAAATAAACATTCACTGAAACACTGCCCATTCACTCACTGACATCATCTGTGGCTGCATTAGCACTGCAGAGGAGTTGCAACAGATAACCCACAGAGCCTAAAATATTTTCTCTCTGGCCTTTTATGGAAAAAGTTTGCTGACCCCCATGCATACCCCATGTATCAGGCAGGATCAGCTGTATACTTTGTGGGTCATCTTGTAAAATGAAAATACAGAGCTCCTTGTTCTAAATCCAGTAAGTATTTCAAGATGGCTTTATTGGGGTTTTTGTTTTTTTTTAAGTTTTTTTGGTTGGTTTTTTTTTTTGGTTTTTTTGTTTAAGATGGCTTTAAACAAGATGGAAAGTCCTTCTAAGCAAGGGCCAAGTGCAATTGCACTGTCTGCACACTCATGAAGCAACCTTGATGCCAAAAAGCCTCCTGAGAGCATGTACAATGCATGAATATGGATGCTCTGGGTGTGGCATATGTGGGCAACAGTTAGCAATTAGTTGGTATGCCTGTATGGGTCTTCAGTCCCATGACTGCAGGCTACATTACGTGTCTTTTTTTTTTTTTTTTTAACTAGAACTAGTTTTGTTTTGTTTTTTGGTACCTGGGGTCGAACTCGGGACCTTGTGCAGGTGGCGCCACCACTGAGCTAAATCCCTGGCCCTTTTGTTTTTTTTAGACCGGGTCTCACTATATAGTGCAGGCTATCCTTGAACTCACTAGGTAGCCGAGGCTGGCTCACAGCAATCCTCCTGCCTTAGCCTTCTGTGTATCTTGTCTTATACTGCAGTACATATCTGTGACGTGGGTAAAATTGTGACAATTTCTTGCAACAGTAGTTCTTCCTTTTTTTTCTTTCTTTCATTGCATCAAATGAGGGCCTTGCATGTGCTAGACAATCACTGTACTTCTATCACTGAGCTACATCCCCTAGTCCCCCTTTATCTTTGCCATCTACTGTATTGCAGGTGTGCCGTAGGCCTCTTGGCTTCTCTTAGAGTTCTATTCATTTTTTTTTCTCCTTTTTGAGACAGGGTCTCACTATGTAGTTCAGGCTGGCTGTGAACTCACTGTATAGCTCAGGCTGGGTTCAAACTCTCGGTGATCCTCTTGCCTCAGCTTCCCAAGTGCTGGGTTTACAGGCATGAGCCACCACACCTGGCTACAGTTGTATTCATATAATTTTTTTTTTTTTTTTTGCAATACTCTGCAGTAAGTTTGGCAAACACTGAGTTAAAGCCTTCTTTCCTCATGTTGCAGTTTGAGGTTAGATCCTGATATCATCTTGACAATACCAAGAAATACAAAAGGAAGACTCTCAGCACTCCAAAAGGCTAATTCCCCAGAGGTAAGTACAGGAATTTCTGTTGTGTGATGTTCTGTGAGTTCCCTCACAACCTATGTTCTAATAAAATCACATGTGCTAATAATCACAAGGCCCATAAGGAAATAGGATCAGGACTGACTGACCACTTCCTACCTATGTTTTCTGGCCAGAGTGTCTAAAAGAAGAATTCAGGACTGAGGGATGTAGCTTAGTGGTAGAATGTGTGCTTAGCCTGTGCAAGGCTCTGCCTTCAATTCCAGCATCTCCCAACAACAGAGCCAAAACAGGACCGAAAAAGAAACTTGTTCCTCTTTCTATGCTCTTCATGTGGTTTTCAGGTAGGACATGTTTTGGGTATCAGGTAACACAAGGTTCAACTCCAGCTGTCAACTGTCACTTACCAGCTGGATGGCCTGGAACAATTTAGTTACTAAGCTTTCTGAGTATAATTTCTTCCTATATAAAAATGGGAATTTGAGCCATGTGTGGTGGCCCATGCCTGTAATCCCAGCACTCTGGGAGGCTGAGACAGGAGGATCTGAAATTCGAGCCCAGTATGGGCAATTCAGTGACTTAATGGACCTTATCTCAAAATTTAAAAAAAAAAGTTTAAAAGAGCTCAGTGGCACCTCACCGGCCTCTCAAGGTCCTGAGTTCGATCCCTAATACCTGATAAAAGGGCTGGAAATGTAGCTCAGTGTTTCGACCCTAGATTTGATTCCCGATACAAACATAGAACAAAACAAAAACAAAGGAGAGATTTGCTAATATTTACTTTCCAGAACCTGAGGCATACGGATGGTAAAAAATAAATATAATAAAAATTTATAAGATAGAAGGAGCCGGGAGGGAAGGGAAGGTGGCAGAAAAAGAACCGAGATGTGTTATGTCCATGTACAAACTCCCCACAATGAATGCAATCATTATGTACTATAAGCATGTACTAATGAAAAACTTTTTTCTAGAACTCCTTCTCTAGTGTTTGCCGGGAGCAAACACTTCCCAAATACTTGTGGATGATTGGGAGATTAGACTATTCTTTTTCTACAATTGTATTATTTCATATTCTTGCTTTCCTTACCGAGGTGATGTAATACTCAACCATCTGCTGCTCCCTCATTTAAAGCCACAGCAAGCTATGTTTATGAACCTCTTCCCAGGCCTGGCAGGGAGGATCCCCTGAGAGGTAGCATGCCTGGGGACTGGCCAAACACCGTGCCGAGCCGGGTGGCCTTCAAATCATTTTGCACAAAGACCTTATAGAACAAGCCCTCGTTTGCTTCTGTAGTGTGGGATCATTTTAGTTATAATGTATTTAGTAGCCTACTAACGAGGCCAAATGGTTCTATTTCTGCAAGAGTTCTGAAATGAAATATTTATCCTTCTCTTACTTGGTAGTTTTGTTTTTAATAAAGAGTTAAAGCTGGGCCAGGAATTTAGCTCAGTGGTTCTGACACCTGCCTGGCAAGCGCAAGATCCGGAGTTCGATCCCCGGTAATAATAATAATAATAATAATAATAATAAAGAGTTAAAGCTGAGCATGGTGCCACACACCTGTAATTCCAGCACTCTAGAAGGCTGAGGCAGGAGTATTGCACCTTTGAGCCCAGCTGAGTGACTTAGGGAGAACCTGTCTTAAAATAAAAAATAATTTTAAAAAGGGGCTGGGATTTAACTCAATGCAAAGGCCCAGGGTTCAATCCCCAGTTTTGAAAAACAAACAAACAAACAAACAGAGTTATGCTTGTGGCCAAACACAGTGCTGTGTGCCTGTAGTCCCTGCACGCAGGAGGCTGAGATGGGAGATCACTTGGGCCGGGGAGGTCAAGACCAGCCTGGGCAACACGAGGTGAGAGACTGCATCTCAAACAAAAAGTTAAACTCAATACCTGATTGCTCTAAGACAGGCCACTCACATAGTAGGCTTATTGTTATTTAAAATAAATTATAGGGGAAGTTCAGGGACAAGCAGCTACACGGGTGGGTGGGTTTAAGCCTCCGCTCTATTGGGTGTCCTCCATAGACCTCCACTTTGTCATATGTAAATGGGAACAAAAAAAAGCAACCAACTTTATATGGTCATCCAATAAACAATAAGCTACTTACCTGATGCCCTTGCCAGCGATGAGTAGTAAAAGCCCAATAAAAATTAACTACTGTTGTTTATGCATTGCATTATTATTATTATGTCATCATCAAGTGTAACCATCTTTAAAAGTTAGATGTTTTTCTTTTACAGATAAGCTGCTTCTCCAAACTCCCTCATGCCAAGAGTGGAATAAACCGCCACCCCCTCCTCTCTTCTGCTCAGAGGAATGGATGGAAATGTAGATGTTGCCCCAGGAGGTCAGAGTCAAGCCAGAGGAAAGAAGCCCAAAAGGACCAGGAAGGATGAAACAAGCATGGAGTCATCACTGTTTAATCGTATCCCCTCTGCCCTCTCTTCCTTACCATGAAAGGACCTTCCACAGCTGGACATGATGAGACAGTGGTGCATGGCAATGTGAGGCCCTCCATCTCCTTGGAGCCAGCTTTGAGTAAAGCCCTTTTCCTTTTCACCAGGGCTCCTGGGTTTTTTTCTGTTGTTTTTGGTTTTGGTTTTCTTTGGGGTGGGGGTAGGCGTGAGCTGAAGGCAGCACTTCCCTAACTTCCCACCCCCACCGCTAATGTCCTTTCTCGTGAACCCAGTCCTTGTGGGCCCTGACCTCAGGAGAGCTGTTTAAGGAGGCTGGAGTTAAGGAAGAACCAGGGGAAACATAACAGAAGCCATGGATTGCTTCGCCAAGTGACAAAAGCCTGTAGTCCCAGCTACCTAGGAAGCTGAGGCAGGAGGATTGTTTAAATCCAGGAGATCAAGGCCAGCCTGGGCAAAATAGCAAGATTTTGTTGCTTAAGGAAGAAGGAGGAGGAGGGGAAAGGGGAAGGGGTGGGGAAGGGGAGGGGGAGGGGAAGCGACTGCTGTGGACTAGAATGTAAGGGAAAAACCAAAGCCTACCTACAAAACTGGGAGCTCCTACTAAAAGGAAGATGCAGTATGTCTGGCCAAACAGCACTCCTCAGTTAGCAGCATTCAAAGTAAAAAGACTCACTTCCTCATAATCTAATTCTTCAGAAGTGCTTTTACTAGGTACAGGAAAGATATATATATATAGAAGACCTTAAAAAATATTAAATGATAACTGTATAAATGATAGATGGCACAGACTTGCTGCTGAGGACTTTAGTTACATAATTTGCATTTTATTTACACATCCCCTGACATTGGTTTCATCGTGGGAAGCTCAGGAGCTGGCTCCCTTAGAATCACCACGCCGATCATGGGACAGCCCAGGGCCAAACGGGGTGACTTTCAGCGTCAGGTTTCCTCCACTTTAAGGGGGCATCTTCCTATGTTTATTGTTTGGAGAGCACATGGGCCACTGGGCAGCACGTCTTGTGCCCTAATTCACAGAAACTTGGCTTCTGCCACAAGCTGAGGCAGCCCCAGTGGAGGTTTCAAATGTGTCATGAGGTTTCCCAGCCAAATTCCTCCTGTACCAGCTTGAAAACTAGCTATAAAAATAGCACTTACTGCGGGAGTCTGACCTGCGACGAAGATTTCCTAACTGGGAGCAGGGACAAGAAGGCCGCTAAGTTTTTATCTTCTTAAAAAAAAAAACCTACTTTCATGTCTCTATGATAAGAATTTGCTTCTAAGATTGTGTTTTTACAAAGCTTCTATATGTGTGGGGGGGATTGAAGGGGAATGGGGTTAAATAAAATAAGATTTATTTAAAATTTTTTTTTAAAGGTTGTGTTTTTAAAATCAACTTTGGACTGGAGTCTCCCGTTTGAAAGTGAATTTCCACAATTTTTGGTGCCTAAATGGATACCAGATATAGCCAAATATGGGGTTTAAAGAAAACAAAAGGGAGGGCCTTATCTTTTATTTACTCAGGGAACAAATCTGAGTGTCTAACTAGGAAATTTGGACGTTCTCTAGGAAAATTCTGATGGCTAAAGGCTCTGGGATTGTTCTGTGTTCAATTCTGACTCCAGGGTCTTTCAGGAGTTAGGAAAGGATCAAGTAGCTCATAGTTCTGTTTTTGTTTTTGATTTTGTTTTAACACAGGGTCTTGCTATGTTCTCCAGGCTGGCTTTGAACTTGAGCTTCTGTCTCAGTCTTCCAAGTTGCTTGGATTTGCATACACGTGACGCTACATCTGACTTACTCCAGTTTTTGAGGCTCTGAGTGTCTTAAAAATGTTAAGAAATCTATTTTGCTTAAAAAGCAAAAATGACTCAGGAGGCTGAGGCAGGAGGATTGCAGTGAGTTCAAGGCCAATCTGAACTATATAGCAAGACCTTTTCTCAAAAAAACTAATTACAGTAACTAACTAAATAAATTTAAGGGACCGAGGGCTTAGCCTGGTGATAGTGTGTGCTTAGTATGTGCAAGGTCTTAGGCTGTACTGTAATTATCTACTCACCAGGCAATAGTGGAGTTTGTTATGAAGTCCTAGTGCACAGCCCATCCGGGCAGTGGCCTGGTGAGGGTGGACAACTGAAGAATCCGGGGCTCCTTCCTGGGAGTGTGATCCATGCCTCTGTGTATGGCCTCATTAGGCAATGACATCAGAGGTTTAAATCTGAGGCCATTGACCAATATGAAGTTGGAGCCAAATGTCCATTCTGTCCCTGCCTGAGGTATTCCATGCCTGGGCCTGCTGCTACCAGCACAGTTTCTCTTGGCACGCAAATCCTTATTTGTAAAATGTGTTGTCATTGGTGACTACCTCATAATGTGATTCGGGAGAATCAATCTTATTGACCATTTGTGAGGTGTTAGTAAATGCTCAATAAATATTAGCTTGAGTCAGCTACTATTACATATTAGAGCTAAGACTCAAAGCCTTGGCCCTGATCTACTTAGTTGGTTTGTGTGGGTCACTGCTCCACTGTAGGAATATTCATTCTTTGTTCATTCAACATGTTTATCAAATGATCACTGTTTTTTTTAAATTTTTATTTTACATATATGGTACTTGTTCTTTACCCTAATTAGGAAACTAGCAAGAAGCAAAGGGGAAAACATCATCCATAATCCACTTATCAGAGCCCTTAAACAGTAGGTAATTATAATGAAGTTTCTTCTTTTCTTTTTCTTGTGAACACTCCTACCTCTTCCTTCTGCCCCAGTACCGAGGACTGAATGTAGGGCTTTCACACTGAGCTATTCCCAGTCCTTTTTAGTTTTTGTTTTGAGATGAAGTCTTGCTAAATCACTACATTGCCCAGGCTGGGCTATTGCAGTCTTCCTGCCTCAGTCTTCCAGAGTGCTGGGGTTACATTGTGTGCTATCATGCCTATTTGTTTTTAAAACCATGTTGAGGCCATAGCAGATGTTCATTTTGGAATTGTATGCATTTTTGTTGTTTTTGGTTTAACATGTTAACATAACACTTTTCCAATTTCATTGCAAATGCTTCGTAAATATAATTTTAAATTACTTTTTTGAGATGGAGTCTTACTCTGTTGCCCAGGCTAGTCTTGAACTCTTAGGCTCATGATCCTTCTGTTTCAGCTTCCTGAGTAGCTGAATTTACAGGTACCCACCACCAGAGCCAGCGTATAAATATAGGTTTTAATGATCACAGAAAATATCAACTCTAAATTTACTATTTCCTAATGTTTCTATTGTTTGTCCATGGGATAATCCACCCCCCTTTTGCTATTAAAGAATCTAACAGGGCTGGGATTATAGCTCAGTGGTGAAGCATTTCTTACCATATACAGGGTCCGCAGCTTCATTCCTAGCACCACATTCAAAACTATGAAACTGAGATGAATACTTTTTCATCCATCTTATTCCATAGTTTGGATAATGTCCACTTCATCCCTCCTGTTTCTTTAGTGCTTACTGGGGGGCAGCTGCTGTGCTGTGTGTGGAGTGAAAAGGAGATAGGGCTGGGACAGGCGAGACCTTGGCTCTCACGAGGTCCTCTCCTATGGGACAAGCAGGTGACAAATGTGCAGAGAAACTCAATACTTGCAGATGGTGACGGTAGTATCAAGAAAAGAAATAGAGTCTATGTCCAGAGAATACCTGGAAGAGGAATTGCCCAGCTTATCCCTGGCCCTTTTTAAAATTTTTTATTTTAAGGGCTAGGGATGTAGCTCAGTGGTGCCTCCGCCTGCCTGGCAAGCGCAAGGTCCCAAGTTCGATCCCCAGTACCAAAAAAAAAAAGAAAGAAAAATTTTTGAGACCGGGTCTTCTAAGTTGCAAATTTCCCATGTGGGACTTGAAGTTGTAATCCTCCCACCTCAGCCTCCAAGAGCACTGGGATTACAGGTGTGTGTCACTGTGCATGGCTTTAGGGCCCACGTTTAAGAACAAATGCACTTAGGGTTATGGATGTGCAGGGCCCTAAGTGCGAGTACCTCCTTAAACTTCACACCGTTGGCATGGGAATTATTTAACTGCCAGTCTCAATACTGGCAGAAACAAATGCAGGAATGGCACTCCAGGTGGAGGCGACAGCAAGTGCCAAAGCCCATAGGCTGCAGAAGCTTGTTATATTCTGGGGAAAGGAATTTTGGTCCCTATAACAGGGTGGCAGTGGAGAAATGTTCTAGAGGGAACAGATTCACCAAAAGAAATAAAGGAAACAGTTTGAAAGTTTTGAGAGCATTCAGATTTGACATATAGTTTTAAATATTAAAGTAGTGTGTAAAACTGGAATTCTAATCTTTTCTTCAGTGGTTTAGCATTGTCTTTATAATTCACACATACTGTATTGGGAAGTGGGCTTGAAAGGTACTAAGAACTTTTCAGTGCTTAAGGGCTTTCAAGTGTGGTTCCCAATCTTGGTTGCATGTTAGAATGCCTTGGGGAGGTAAACAAAAAAATTACTAATGCCTGGGCCTATGCCAAGGGACCCTGTCGCAGTGGGTTTGGATGAAGCCTAGGTGTGGGGAGTCTATTGTGAAGACAAAATTGAGAGCCACTGTTAGGATTCTCTTCTAGAGATGAATTTCCCTGGGATATTTACAATGTAGCAGAAGTTTATTGATTGATGATTGATTGATTGATTTTGCAATGCTGGGGACCAAACCCAGGGCCTTGCTCATTCTAGGCAAATGCTCTACTGCTGATCTATATCAACAGTCCTGAAGACCAGATTTGACAGCTTCTCGTATATTCTTTTAATGACAGGTCCGGGTTTTATTATAAGAAGAATACGACGTGGTTGATAGGCTGTAGGTAGCATGGTAGCATGGTCTGATTTTTATTTTAAAGACAATCCTTGGGCTATGTGCAGTAGGTCTCTTTAGGATAGATTAGCGAAGTACAATCACTGGGGGAAAGTGTATTAATGATTTTGGATACACACTGTTAAACTGTTTTTTAGGAAGTTTCTGCCAAATGACACTCTCTGCTCTCACGCTACCCCTTGGCCAACACAGATTGTTTTCAAGGGTTAATTATTTCTATGGGAAAAGAAAAAAATAAGAAATTGAGCAACTGGACACAACCTCTGCCAGTAACCTTTATTTTCCTCCTCCTTCATTGGTCAAA